AGGTACGCCTCAAGCAGAACCTACTCGTGCCAAAACCAACTCACAGCAGTAGTTATTGAATGAGATAAAGTGGCGACTTTTTTGGCAAAAATAGCAGATACACGTAGGCATGTGGAGGAATTGATGCCTCATATTTGGATCCCAATCTTTTTGGGATTTGAACTACGTCGCTTCAAAGGCTCATTTCGCCGCAAAAACGCCACAGTTCTGGTGATGGCACATCTCACTAACATGCCACTGTGCACATTTCTCCTAGTGCAAAACCTAACCTGCACCCTGTCTTGGAGGGCGAATTGACGACTTGCCTCTTCTTCTTCTTCAGCGTTTGTCCCGCTCGACGACTTGCCTCTGCTTACTAGAATAATGCTTCCCTGGAGGCAGTACTGAGTTTGTGGGCATTTCGTGGCCCAAGGCTGAGAATGTGACCATGGAGGCCTCGACTGCATTTGCAATTGCCTTGATGTCTAGCTGCTCTTTCGTACCTCTCGCTTCTTTACCGTTGCGTGAACGCCATTCTTCCGTCAGAATTGCTTCAATATACATAGCCAGTGGTAGAAGGAAGGGAAGGGTCTTGCTAAGGATCTGCCAGAGTTTCATCCTGCCTATGTAGCAAATCCTCTGACGAGCACAGTATTTCTGGAGCAGATTACTCCCGATCGTATGAATGGGGACCAAGAAGCAAACCGCTGGAACGCCCCTTTCATACCTCAAAACGAAGCGCACACCAGCGAGAAAGGCAGTAAATCTCCCTTCCCTCGTGTGGCTCCCCCTCATCTAACCTTACGGTTGTCGTTTGTATATTCAAAAGTCTCCATATAATGCCGGTAAGCCCAGCAATAGGTGCAGCTCATATTCTCGCATGCTGATTGTATGTTTTCACCCTTGAAGGTACCATTCGCGCTGGTCGCTTGGATGGAAATGGTCTATTATCGTGTATTCCGATGGTTAGGGGAAGAGCGCTTCGGTACCTTAATTCCCAGGTGTCTTCACATAGTGGGATATACGTGCTTCGCTGCTGGTGAATACTTCGCAATACGGGACGATCTTGAGACGATTAGGGAGGAATCTTCGGCAGACGGAATTTCGAGGAGGTGAGGGGGGGGCGCACTTGCACTCTCGCGAGTTCATTTTGCTAGTTGACCAGCAGGTGTCCCACTTAAGTGAGACCTGTAAACAATTGTGTTGCGAAATGGCGCGAGTAGACCGGTCTTGGTTTTAAGAGTTTACAGGTCTCCATTTGGTGGCCTGTGTGAGTTTCGCTCCACTGGGTCCCTCGAGCTGAAATGCTGCATGCGAGAAGGGTACAATGGTTTGTCTGCGATCACACACCATTGTGCGCTTTATCAATGTTTTAGGCGGATTCTGGTTGTTAATCTCATAATGATGTCAGGATTTCTATAGAGACCCTGTCTGTGTAATGAAGGCGGCTCTATTCATATACTTCTACTGCGGTCGAAATCTGGTATGCGTTAACTTGTTTATTCACACAACTTGAATGGAAGAAAAGGCATTAAAACAAAGTTTTCAAAATCAAGTCATCGTAGCTGTCGCTCCAGTCTCTTCTTTTTCTCTTAAGACAACGCCCACCCCCGACCACTTTCTTCCGAAGGAACAAGGTTTTTTCGAAAAGCCATCAAAGCGTGCTTGCGTCAAGGCATCTTAAATCTGTTTTGCGCAAGGGTCTACAGGGGGGGGGGGGCAAAAAAGTCACTTCGACCGAGTCACATATCAGCAAAGTTTTCGCAGCCCAGAGAGAAGACGTGGATACGAGTACCAGGGCGAAAGATACCCAAGATGTTCCTCTATAAGCAGGAGCTGGCTCTCGCCCATCACCTTCATGTACACCAAATGATGAGGTCATCTTCAGCGCTTGACTGGAGAAAGACGGCTTTTTAAGTTATGTACTCCAAACAGCTGCGAAACTTCTAGTGTGGAGTCACCCATGGACCTGGAGACCAGTACTCTCGATCTGGAAGACCTCCAACATCGAGCAGCTCCGACAACGTCGCTACGGTCTAGGACATCATCTTCACGGCAGTCGCCAAGGCGCGGGTTGATGGTATGGACCGGACGTACCTGGAATGGGAAGACCAATATTTTCTTCGTGGACCCCGGACATAAGGTGAGCGGCGTGGCCGGTCCACATCGACAACTCAAGACAATTATCTTCCCAGCACCTGTCGTCGCCCGTAACCTCCTTGGAAATTGTGCTGCACCAGCACTCGGGTGTAACACATGGAAATCGAAGGCCGTTGGAGAAACCTCTCGCCTAATTTTGGAAAGGAAGGGGCTGAACCTATAAGAAGATGGCGACTATCAAGTAGGTCAGCTACCTGCTCCCTTATCTTACCAGTTTGTTGCGGAGTTCAATAGGGTGGTCTACGGTGGGAGAAATCGACTATCTCGCTGATCTCAGGCACCACATCGCGGTCGCGTGCCAGAATCTCTCGATGGCGCTCGTCCAGAAGGCTGTGGCGGAGTGTCATGATAGTATTTAATATGCTCTTTAATGGTGGTAAAATGTCCGATCAGAAAATTTAATAAAAATGTAGACTTATAGCTCTCGAAGATTGAGTGAAGGAAGCCGAGACTTTTTTTTTTGGCCCCCTCCCCCTGTATACCCCACTACCTCATAATCAATCGTGTAATCAGTACTGAGCTCCAGAACGAGTGTGTTTTCCCCTTGGTACATATTAATTCACATGGTCAGGCCTTATGACCCATGTACATTTTCACTTCGTGTAACCATAACAATGGATTCGGATACGTCAATCGGAAACAAACCGTACCCTCAGTCCGTGGATCTTGGTAGTTGCTGTGTGGGGGAAGAAGGGCCTGCAGCTGCAGTAGTGCGCCACTTTCTCCGCCTTAACGTGCACGGGAACGGAACTGAAGAGTAGTGATATCCGAGTGCCGTCCCTACACTCCGCTCGCGCTTCTGTACAGTCAGCCACGCGCCCAAGCATAGCCAGCGGCACTTCTCTGGGTCCCTCTCTCAATTGGTTGCTCTCTAACCGCTGTGTTTCGTTGCAAGACCGTGGCGTAGGCGCATGTCACCTTGAGGACGACGCGGACGAAGTATGGAGACGGCTCTCGGGTAACACTGCCCTATAACCCGTTCCCACACACTTTTGAGCGGGAAAGTGGTACGCTCCTGCAGCTACAGACGCATTCTCGCCACAAGGCAAGGATCCGCAGAGGTGAATGTGCAGTTTGTCTTTCAGGGACAGAAGTAGGGTTCCATAGTGTAGTGGTTGCAACACTATCTTGGTAACCACAAGGTCTAGCTTCGAGTCCTGGTTGAAATTCAAATAAGGTTTTTTGCAAGGCCTCTTTTAACGCCTTCGCCGCATCTCGAATTTGCTGGCCTAGGCTCGAGAATGATGGTTTGATCTTTATAGACGCTGAGTGCCGTGACATCGTGAACTTTGTGAAAAACGAAGCGAAGCTTACATCGCCGACTGCGGTTATACTGATGGGAACACCGATATGTGACATTCAGAAGACATCGTTCGCCCTGAAAGGTGATCTCACTACGAAATTCGCAATGAACCCCCATGTCGTGATCTTTACTTTCTTGAATGCTTGGCAGCAGTGTAAAACTCCAAAAATTATTTCAAAAATCCTAAAATAGATGAAATTCTTCAAAATTTTTCGGCATTGCTGCAGTCGTTTTCGCTGCAGACCCTGACTCGCGTCAGGGGGAGTGGGTTTGCCGCGGAGCCAGCACGTTCTCAACCAATTGTTGAAGCGGACAAGCGGCAGCGATTGGTAGAAAACGGGCTAATGTCGCGTCAAACCCATCCCCCTTTTCGCCCCAGCGTTCGCAGCGAAAACAACTACATATTTCTGGGCTGAGCACCTTCGTCAGGCGGGAAATAGTCGTTTCACCAATATGAACCGGCACCTCGACTAGTGGGCATGCCCCCCCACACACAAAACAGCTGCACACCCATTCGTCGCCGTTTGTAAGACTACTTCTGTTCAGTGATAGAGGGTGATGGTTATCACTCAATTTTGCCAGTAGCTGATTTCGGAAGATGGTCAGGAGGTCCACGTTGCGACACTGTGCACAACTTCGAACGCACGGGGCACCACGATCACTGACTATCGCTGGGTCTCTCGTGCATACGGCGCGCACAGCTCCACATGGTGCCGTCGCAGCTTGGAAGTCCTGGCCCATACTTATTAGTTTTATTGAGTAATTGTCGTTAAACAGGATCACAGAATCTTCATCAACTGAGTTTTTGGAAGATCAGCATTTGTGTCAACTGCACACTTTCGACGACACAGTACTACACGGTCGAAGGCATCCCGGTCAATTTGGTCGCAATGCCAGCAGTTCCTGTCTCTCGTCTCATTCCCCATACGGGTAACACGTTGAAATTATTTTTCAGTTCCCGGAAAAAGTGGTTCTGCTATATAATGAGCAAACTTTAAGCAGTGCCCTCGATCGCCATTACAAAGTCGGCTGAGTCACCAAATCATGTGGGATGTGGGTTACTAGAGAAGAAAAAAGCAAGTCAAACAAAGAAAACGACCCTCCCGGCCCTGAGGCTTATATGAGCATGCGGCGCAGACCGAAAAGAGAGAAAACTCACGATAGGGCTAGAAAATGTACAAATAATCAAGACCCTACCACAGGCCATGGCTAGACGCAATGGTAAAGGTGGGTCCAGCCCACGGAGGCGGAGTTAGGTCATCGTCGCTGAGCCGTGGCACCCTTATCAAGCACTTTTGAGTCGCGGGTGTGGGCATGGTGACTGATGAGAGCGCCACCATGTGCAACAAGGAGTTTCTACGGGTCGAGTAATCGCGGGGGTGTCTTTAAGGCACAGTCCACGCTGACTATATGGCAGCCAATCCACTGAGACTTTCTTAACGGTGCGCGCCCTCTCTTCACCGTGAAAAGAGATGCAGCGCACCAATCAGAATGTCACGATACTTGAACGTCTCCACCACTACGATTATCGTGGGCTTTTTTATTTTTCCTTACTGCAATGCCTTTGCAGAGTCGGTACATGCTTTCGCAAGTGAGCTGATGGGAATTCCAGTCGATGACAAACTGAAAGGATTCTACATTCCGATATCCCCTATCAAAGATCCCAGCGCACTGAGGTAGGTTGTTTATTTGATCACTGTTTAATTATAGTGTAGCGAGAGCGTTCCTGGTGGGAAACCAGCATTGGGAAATTAAATTAGTGGTTGTTTTGGTCTTCGTAACAATATTGAGACTGGAAGCCGGTTAGATCGGCGGCCAAGATCCTCTCCTTCTGGACTCATTCTCATCGGTTGATCTGCACTGAAAGAGCGGGAGACCTGCCGGTATGTACCGCAGACGAAGAGGAGGAACTGTTCGAAAAGGTGGCCGTTCTCGCTGGCCCTCTTAATTCTGAGCGCTTTGATCCCCTTGCGAACACATACGATAATTTCGAAGAGTGTTCTCCTCGAAAATTCCCAGTAAATATTTTCTGTAATAAAACTAGCAGTATAGCTCGATCGTAGTAAACGGTCATCCTATCTGACTTCTCCTATTGATTCTGAAGTACCACTGCTCAGGACCACGCTTAGCCAAGCTGTTGCTCCTGATATGTATACAACAACTCTTCCACACTGCCGTACCTAGTTTTGAGTGGGATCCACAGTTCCAGGGGAGAGGCTCACTGATTTACACGGTTTTGTATCTCTTGCTTTCCCCTGCCATCCTTCAACAACGTTCTCCTTTGAAGGAATGGTCCCCAATGGTCACATGGGCGGAGTCGGCCCTGCCATTATCTATCCTGACTGAGGCCCTTTTCTCTATCGCATTAGAAATGGAGTAGTG